TTTTAATCTAAAAGAAAAGCAAACATTAATAAGATAATACAACACAAAATAGACACAAATTATTAGGTTTTATATTTTAATATCGTAGATATTTTCATCTACTTTTAAGTAGATTAGGCTTGAGTAGATGAAATTATCTGCGATATCACCCAAGGTGGAAGCGGACTTTAAGCTTGACACACGCACACATGTAGATGAAATAGACACTAATAAACTTTACTGACCTCAAGTAACAATTAATTAAGGTATAATGAGATAAGTTGAAACGATTTCTGTTCATCTGACAGTATGTGATAAAATAAATTTTACTAAATATTTATGTGTAGATTAAAATATACCATAATATAATACCAGGAACCATAGTTCTCCGTGGGTGTGAGGTGGGCCGTTAAAGAGACATTTAGAACTGGAATTTGACTAGGTTTATTACGTATACTATTTCAAGGGTGTCGCGTTAAAGATACATTTACACCTGGAATTTGACTGTGTTATTATGTATAGTAGTTCCGGAGTGTCGTGTTAAAGATACATTTACACCTGGAATTTGACTAGGTTACTTTGTATAGTGCTTCAGGGGTTGTGCCGTTAAAGAGACATATTTTACACCTGGAATTCGGCTAGGTTATTATGTATAGCGCTTCATGGGAGGTCTGTAAAGAGACATTTACACTTTGAATTTGACTAGATAACTACGAATAGTGCTTCAGGAATTTAGTCTTGTGTTTGTTGCGAGAAAATATATTTTGATTAAATATTTATTAGGTATGAAAGAGATGACCTTTACGACCTAGTCTCTACAGAGCGATAAAAATACGCCACACGTGCGTACATGTTTAATAATATAGATTTCTCAGTTGACCATGACAGAAAAACATGGTTGTAGCCTATAGTGAGTAACCGACCTGAAACCCGAAGTAATACACTATATGGAAGTCTCTAGATAGGCGTAGGCTGATGAGGAATTAGGGACATGGGGGCTGTACCCCCCCCCCCCCCATCCAACACACACCCAAAAAAAATTATAAAATAAATGAAAGATCTTGAGATTAAATGCTTTTTCAGAGAAAGGAAATAACCAAGCTACATATTCTGTTCTACATGTGCCAATATTCTGAATATTAAAAAGCCCTACAAACTCCTCCTGGCGCGGAACTAGCTACGCCCAGACCCTGCAGTGCTGTATTTAGCAACAATGGATATATTGATTAGGACGTGTATACCACACTGATCCGCAGTGAATATTTGCTTGGCCGCGACAATCACTGATAAGGATGACATTGATGCGGCTTAATGAGCTAGAAATATTAACTTTTTTCCTGCGACAAATTAAATTCTAAAACATTTTTTGTATATATTGGAAAAATAAATAAAGGCGTTTGACGTATTTGTAGGTAAAAAAAATTTCCGATTTAGTGTAAATGGGTATTAAATTGACTAAAATGCAGCATTCTCTCCGAAGCAGTTATGTCTTATGCCAATGATTCACACCGCGTGCTGTGACAGCACGTGTTAAGGCAGTCATCTATGACAGAGATATTATACGAGACTCGTAATTCTCTGTGAAACAGATTGCGTGTATACATTTAAATGTAATAATAAATACAGAAACAGCGAGGTCACGAACTTTACTTTTGTTATTGCCATTTACTGATTATTTCTGTTTTCAGGGTACTTAAAAATGTATGAAGGTTAATAGATAATAAATGCCAGTCAAACCAACAACAAAGCAAATGGAAATGACAAGCGTATTGGTTGTTCGAAGCTAAGTCTCGCTCCTCCATTTTTAGCTTAAATCAAACTATGGCTCAACTGTTCTAATCTATTTAATATCGGAGAAATCCGATGCCACTGAGAGTTAATTATGGCCTGGATAAGTTAATTAATGTCTAATTAATAATTTAGAAAAAAAATTCAAGCCTAAAAAAAGACCTGCAATAGGCAGATTTAGCCCTTGCATAATGTATGTTTAATTGTACTGTTCTTAGTTGTTGTTCTTCTTGGTGTTTAACGTCAGCTTCCACCGAGGTTGATATCGCTGACAAGTCATACTTTTATTTTTTTATTATCATAAGGCAGGGGTCTTTCCTGTGGGAGGAAAACGGAGTAAACCCACGAGGGCGAGAAGCCACCCCAATCTACACACCACATACGCTCACACAAGGTAACGAAATCACGAAGGCAGGCCACGTGCGCTCACACAAGGGATCGAAACCACGACCTCAAGCTACAGGTGACCGGCTAGCTACGAGAACGTAACTAAAAACGCTGAGATATACTGACGGAGGGTTGAGAGATAAGGTTTGTTATCTAGTGACCAGCCAGCTAGACGCTGTAGACCAATAGGCCATCCCAACCCCGCTATTCTTAGTCACTGATTGACACTTTTATCCCGGGACACTACACTAGTCTCATGACAAGAATATCCCGGGTCTTCTGTACGTTGGGACACAAAGTGATGTCCATCCGTGCGCACATTGGCGTACATTATCTTCCGTTTTCAAACAGGCGACTGCTACCCCAATGAAACCGCTACTTAGCTCCCGCTTCTGAATCCCAAGTTAAAATGTCGCTTTAACTACCTATAAGTAACAACGGATGTGTATGCAAGACAGGGTTTATATTTGTTTTAGATATCAGTTCGTATGTTCACTTGACAAAGAGTTTATCTGTTCTACAGTAAAATTCCTTTTAAAACTGCAACCTCTGTCGTCTTCATAAGCCAATTAATTGTTGACCGTTCGGATAACGGCATAATACGCTCACACTGAAATTCAGGCATATAAAATGTTTACAAATTACATTTGTCAACGATATCACCCATAGTGGAAGTGGACGTAAAACTATTGGAACGAACGAACGAACAAATTACACTTGTCTACGATATCACCCTCGGTGCAAGTGAATGTAAAACTCCAGTAACATTGTCTGCTTTAAGGCCCGGTCCCAGTGGCCGATGGACACAAAACGTATGCAAAAAGGACACAGCGGACGAGCAAACTTTCGGAGGTGGCTCCATCCAATTTCATCCGCTCCAGAAATGGACAAAATTGACGAAAATTTGCGAAAACAGAACGGAAAAGAACGAACGTGGGAAGTATGTAGCGGGGATGTTAAATGGATGTTCATCGTAAGCCTAGTGGATGAAAGCGGATGGAAGTGATGACAGCTCCGAAGGGGGTAGGCAAACTCCAGACATCCTTCAATATACCAGATACATCCCAGATACAAACGCTTTGTCCGTTTTGAAAACTTTATATACGAGATGCATACGCTTACATCCTTTCTATTTCCGTGCTACTAATTAACGATGTATAGATGTTCCATGTACCTTATCTTTCCTCCCTCTTTCCGTTTTCAGCTGGAGCGGATGTGAGTTGCGAGGATGCCCAGAGTATGCAGAGAGGATACAGTGGACGTTTAACGGATGATAACGGACATGGAACGTTTGGTGCTCGTATACGTCGCGTATTTTCAGCGTACACGGCAGAAAGTTCATCCTTTATAAAAGTTTTGTGCAGCTCAAAACTTTTTGCGCCGATGAAATCAAAGTGAACGGATGCTCGATGGATAGAGCGTATGAAACACGTATGCAATGAGTACATAACGGATGCATTTCGTTTTCAAACGGAGGGCACGTTTTTTCCCCGTTTTACATCCTCTTGGCATCCGTAAGTGCAGTGGGACCGGGCCTTTATATCACCATTGGTGGAAGCGGAAGTTAAACACTAATAGAAGAACAACAACAAATTGCACTTAGCATCACGTGTGTAGGAAATGTAATTGTGCACGCTAACCACCGCAATTAAAACAAAACGATGATTTGGAGCTTCCAATACATTCCACGGTTGCTGATGCACACGATATCTACTATAGTGAAGTGGCTTTCGGATTTTCTAACAAAGGCAAACATTCTGTACATATTCTACAATATTCAGAACAGCATAGAGCACCGTCAATTATCGGAATAACGACAAATGCCGATTATAAACAAGCGATTCTCTGTTTGTTGATTTTCGTTTTTCTAATTATATTGTAACCCGTAACCCGGGCGTTTCCAATGTTATAATCATAAAACTACGTTGACTCTAACGTTATTGAAGCAATATAATAATATGGATTATTGTAAATTGTAAATTATCTCAACCTTATTATTACTGGATGTTATGCGTACATTATCAATGTTGTCATAAACCTAATGGCATTGTTGATACTGGTCAAAATATTTAAGAGGAAGTCAAGTTGAACCCATTATAATTGTGCTCTGCACAAACCTTCTTTGAAACCCCTCGAAACCATTAAAATGAGTTAAACTTACAAATTGAAAGTGCACGAATTTGACAAACGTATTTGACATTTTGTGTGAAATTTAATTTGAACACATCCAATGCGACTGTATATAATGATTAGTGATATCGCTTCAGGTTGAAAATTAAAATATAAAAACGGCCTTAGGAATCCAGATTAAAATGAATTGGGTTTAATTATTAATATGTTTACGAAGATAAATTATCTATATATATTTCTACTTCACTGATTAAAGTTCATACTTATTTATATAGTACATTCCTTATAACAGGAAATCCTATGACTGCACACAATGACGAATTGGGCGTTTGTAAAAATTTCTGACTGGATATTATTTTCTTTCGTCTTTTAAACGGAGGGAGTCACGGGAGCCCAGGGAATAAGACGTTAGCTCTCTATCGTGGAGTTTCCGTGTTCGATCCCGTTGTTGGCCTAGAAAATTCATCGCGATTTTCTGGCGCGATCAAAATTCCTCTCACAAGACACTGTATGGCGTATACACGTCTTCATTCATTAACCCAGTCGGAGCAGAATGGTAGGACGTTAAACCCCATTTCCATTGCAACTTCTTTTCATGTAATTTATATATATGGACACTGAATTTTAAAATTCAGTCAATGACCAAACAGAGAATCAATTGGCTGATGTTATCAGGTGCCAATTGACCTGATAACATCAGCCAATTGATTCTCTGTTTGGTGGGTATCTCCCCAAACCTGACACCTGTTGACGTCTTCAAATTTAAGAGTTCGAGTAAAATCGTTTCTTACTGTTTCTTATATTACGATATTTATATGAATTAATTAAGAGTGACAGGTAGTTGCTGAAGCGATGAGTAAGAAGTGGTACCGACATCGCTAGTCATTTTGTAATGTAGTACACGAGGTATGATTGGAGTAAAAAAAAGAGACATTTTACAGCCAATTGATCCTCTGATTGGTGGGTATCTTTAGGGGGTCTTTAGCAGTGGGAGGAAACCGGTGGACCCGGAGAAAACCCACGAGGTTGGACAGGCGACCCTACTCCTTTTCACGTACAACCAGGGAAACGAAACCACGCCAGTTGACTAAATGACAGGCCTTATTATACAATGCGCACGCGCTAACTATTCGGACATTTAACCCCCCAACCCCTACTTCTGTTATACGTTGACCTGTATTGAAATAGTTTAGACTATTTTGACTGGAAATTGACTGAAAAATACGAAAATTGAAGAATGTTTGATATCCAACCATTATTTCGGTCGGTATGGGGCACATTTTCAAAATGGTCGCCAAAATGGCTCCAAAATGTGCAAAAATCGTATTTTTAAGCTATTACTTCGAATTAGTGCGATTTATTTTACTAAGTATAAAACATATACAACAACTTTTGGTCTTGGAAGGAATTATTAGTGAGCAGAAATTCGGCCGTGTATCTGTTATCACACGTCACATCAGTCAGTTATATAGAGGTATGACTCGTGTTTTCCTTTGGCGTTCGTCACTTCCGATTCAGGAAACTTGTATTACTCAGCTATCGTAGCAATGGTCTCTGTGTTAAAATTATATTTGGAACGTTTCTAATTAGTTCTATCACATATGTGATAACGACTGACATCAATATTGTCCTTTAATTTGAACCGGATCCAAGATATGCGTGTCTAAGTTATGGGACGATACCAACAATGTATTACCATTATAAAATTTCTGTACAGAATCTGTTATGTAACAAACGTCAGTATCTTTCTTTATTTCTACCAGTCCAGTAGAACAATAATTTATTACCGTTTCTATTCTTGTTATACGTAATTTCCTTAGAGAGAGACAAAATATATCTCATTCATATTGTTATTAAACATGTATTTAAACAGTTATTATGTAAGACATAAATCTGCTTATTGCTGGTCTTTATCTGGGCCTTAAATATTATATAAATTATTAATTAGACATTTATTAACATGACACGACCATCAACAACTCTCGATGCCATCGGATGGCTTCGAATTTAAGTAGATTGGAACGGTTTGGCCGTTTAATGATTTAATTTAAGAATGGAGAAGTGCGGCTAAGACTCGAATGACCAGTATGATGGTTACAATCAATGCACGCTCAAAATAAAGTAATTGGAATGAAATGTTCAATATATTCATTTTGCATTATCTATTTTTGAAATATTATAGAGAACGGCCAGCTCTTTATCCCAATCGATCCCTGCATTGACCGAGAAAGTTCAACCAGATCTCCCGGCGTGTTTTCCCCTTGTCAGTGTTGCGAGGACCGGGGGGGGGGGGGGCTGACAAAGACAGCTGTCTAGTCGTTCGGATGGGTTAAAAAAACCGAGGTCCCGTGTACATATTGACGTGCACGTAAAAGATCCCTTGGCAGTTGGAATTCGATATAAGAGTAGGCCGTAGCGCTGCTGTCCGGGCAAAATGTCCGTCATAGCACACAGTATGGCGTATGCCCGTCTTCATTAGAACAGTTCGGAGCAGAACAGTAGGACATTAAACACCATTTCATTTCATTTTTTTTTATCCAAATCTCACATAATGCCCCTTTAATAAACAACTTTTTGAAGATTTTTTTGAAAATGTATAACTTAGAGTTTGGCTATTATTATGAAACTAGATCACTATGACAACAGGAAATGCAATAGGAAACTATAAATGTATAATTTGTTGTACACTAATTAACAGTTCATTTATTAAATCAAGCCTGAAGTCATTAGCTTTCTAACTACTAATCCCACTGACCCATTTACTGCCTATGTTATAGGCCTAATCTTGTGTATTAGCAACGGATTAACTACTATGCAAAGCTCATTAAATCTATGGACCTAACCCATTTTAGGACATAAACTGAGAAACTCGTGATATCACCCAAGGTGGAAGCGGAACGTTAAGCCCCACGAAGGAACAGGGTATAATTATCATTACTTCTCGAGACAGTGTGTGCCGACAATCGAATATTATTCAGTAAGTATTTCTATGACTATGTTCAATGTTTCTTCAGCTACTACTACTAGATACAATTTCATTTCATTAGTTATGTTCAGGTTAATATTACAGTTTCGGGCATTGCCACAATTCAATTGATAAATTAGACAATCTATAATAACAATATTAGATATTATTCTATAAATGCATACAAATACAAGCAAATATCATTGAATACTTGTGGAATACTTGCGCAGGGATACACTCTCTTGAACCATTGAATAACCCGAGCGGTAGGCCTATCCAATGGTCATTGAGTTCTATCTATATAACTGTAAGTAGGCTATGTATTTAATACAGAGCGAAGTTCTAAAGCAGCGATTCTCAACCAGTGTGCCGCGAAATTTTGAACGGCACACGAAGAAAATGCGAAAAACCACGTGATCCCATTTGAGTATTCACAGGTGTCTACTGATAAGTGTATCTCTTTATTTAGTTTGAGTCATTCTATGTGTCTAAGACTAGTCTCTGTCTATGGTTGTATGCCGTCTGACTGACCATGTTTTTATGTTGCAAAATTCAAATAATTTTCATATAGACTATTGTGTTTAGCCTATATAGCCAAGGGGTGCCGCTATTTTTTTCATGTGTTCCAAGGTGTGCCGTTGGCAAAAAAGGGTTGAGAAGCACTGCTCTAAAGCATCGCGCGAAGCGCGGTGCTTGAGCAAAGCTCTTTTCCGGTAACACAGGAGCGTAACTAAAACTGTCACCCACAGACTGTTGATAAAAAAAAAATTCAGACCGGAACCGGATACACTGAGCAAAACTGGCAATGCGCATGCCAACTTACCAAATCATGCCAAGCGAGATTACGCGTCTCATAGACCCATTTCTATGACGCGTTTAATCAATGACGTCACATATTTTTGACGTCAAAGAAAATAATTCTCACACTTTTTTTCTCTTTTTTTTAAAAATAAAATTAATTACACAATTTCGATCTAAATTAAAATCAATTTGGAAAAACAAATTTAATTAACATTATTTGTATCATTTGAGAAACTTAATTATAAGGTTTTACATTTGACAACATCAGCTTCGCTCTACTCAGGCAATGCCTGTTACATAACATATTACGGAATGGTGGTTATCTCGATGATTTACAGGTTAGGCCCACGGTACCGCTGTGTAAACTCAACAAATAATGTATTCGATACTGTTGTCATAAAATTAGGCCTACCGCTGTGTAAACTCAACAAATAATGCATTCGATACTGTTGTCGTAAAATGTACAAGAAGAAATAAAAGTCATTTTACACCATGTTTCTGATTCAAATTCATGTTTTCGTGTCAGTTATAGAACTGAAGTTTAGGAATACAAGTCTGTTTCAAACTAGAAACTGCTGTGTACTAAAACTATGACAATGAATTTTATTAAGAGATGTACTATGTCGCAAATTTCTGAACGACCACGTTTCAACGTCGGAATCATGGCGAGAAAATCCAGGTGAATGATTCTTTTGATATTTGTGGCAACTTTCTCTTTGGTTGTACCATTCAGTTCATTAAAAAGTGATTCGTGTAGTAATTTGTGAAAACGCTGTCAACTACATATACGGTATCATTCAAATTTGTTGTACTCCTGTAGTTAAAGATTCAGCGGCCTTCTTCATGTAGCCGTAGGGCCTAGTATTAGTAATTTCTAACAAGGACAGATCTCCGCCATTTTAGGCCAAGTGAGGTCATGAAATTTATATCCATTTTTTGCCTGTCAGTGTTTAATGTTTGGCAAAGTCTAGTTTGAAACAATAATCAGTGATATAATAGCCTATGGCAATATTATCTTGTTAAATTGTTTTTGTCATCTATTTTCCACAAAAAGACTAAAGTCAAAGAGCCTAAATTTCAAGAATTTTATTTTTTTGAAGACAAGTGAAGGATTTGGAGAATGTTTTCTTTTTTTTTTCTTTACAGTTAGCCTAAGTCAATTAATATTTATATACTGTTTGTCTATGAACAAAATGCTCTTTAGCTTATATTTGAAATACTGTTTGCAAATCATATCACGTTCCACATGTAGTTTTCAATTTTAAGACTCTGCCAAACCATTTAACCTGACGAAGAGCGGGGTCGTTTGTATCAACATAATGGTCCCGATCAGGTGCTCAATCGCCAAATTGAGCACACGGTGGCGACACCAAACGACGCCATAATGATCGTTGCTAGTAGAAGTATCCAAATTCTTAATTTATTCGACGTTGATGGATAACATGTAAAGCTCAAATGAAGTAGTCATTTTCGTCTTATGGGAAAAGATCAGACTTACCACGGAAATACATTTCGATCAGCTAATTTCCGGTCTCAATTTTTCTGTGCGTATTTAGAGCTAGCAACAAACTCACTGAGGCCGCGGCGGCAACTAACCGCGTGGTATTTCGATTAAATAAAAATTAAAAGTAAATTTCATAGTTTTACGCAGGCCCGTAACTAGGTCCCCTCCCACCCCAGTGAAAAAATTGTCGACCATATAAACAATAGATATACAGCACCCCCCCCCCCCTCCCGAGAACACCCCTCCCCCCTCGTTGCCCTGAGCTAGTTACGACGTAAGTTGCCGCAAGAATGAGTTTAAAAGATAGAAAAAGGACAAAACTACATGAATTGGATCTGAACCGAGAACAGTTACAATATATACGTCTTTGGTACACTCAACTAAATAAGAAATAGAATCGTCGAGTTTAAGCCAAAGTTTTAATGAAGTTCGTAACTACGTATTTTTAAAAGTCTAACGTTTAAAGAAGATTTTTTCATGGCTTCATTGTTGTGAATGAATATTGACACGTGATTGTCTATTTGGGCGAATGTTTGCTGCCTTCGGTGCACGTGCGACCCCGTGACTGAACTTTGCTCATTTACGTCGTGGTGATCACAGATGGAACAGGCTGATAAAAAAGGTAATGTTTTATGCACAAGGATTTGAGAACGGTGAAATTAAGGCATAAGTTTTGTGTTTAACTAGAGCTCGATAATAACTTTTATAAATCAATATATCGGAATATGTAAATTTTATTGACAATAATATTTTTTGGATACCACAATAATCCAAGATATCGTTTGTCTCTATCTCTCTTTCCCTGATAATAGGCTATTCTCGGAAGGACTATTATTATTTAGTTACTTTAGTAACGTAAATTGTATCGGCTCTGCTCGCTACTACGTTACTGTCAGCTCCTAATGACAACTAGTATGAAAATAAGGCTTTTCCCCATCTCGGTTTTAAGGCTATTTTGGAACCCTTACCGTCTATTTTTCACTGTGATTCTTCTTTGGTCGCCAAAAGGAATCATTTCTTGTCACATCCAACACAAATTTATAAAAATCCAACACTATTTTCATGTAGAATTACGCGATACAAAAACATAAACAACTTTCATTTGAATTGGGCCGCCATGTTCAAACTAACGCTCAGCCAATATTCCAAATTTAGGAATGGAATTTTACCGTAAACGAAAATTCACGCAGTTCATGAGAATAACACATAAAATATCTAAAATGTTTTATAAAGGTCAATATAATTTGCTGACAGTAACGTAGTAGCGAGCAGAGCCGATACAATTTACGTTACTAGAGTAACTAATTATTATTATGTTTTATTGAAACATGTAAGCTTGACCTTACAATGATTTAAGGTTACATGTCCATGACTACATGCTTCTCACTGTCACAGGGCTTGGCACCTCTTTTCGAGCTTTTTGTCTTGAAACAGGATATTGCAATATGGTAATGGTAATATATTGTGGATTTTTATATTGATATCGCAATAATAAAAATTCCAAATATCGTCCAGCCCTAGATGACCTCTCGAGTACAATTGAGTAATCCAATTGTGAAATTTGGTGTATAGTCGGGACAAAAACGGTGAACAATTATACCCCAATTTCATTAAAGAATGCTTCATACAAATGCTAGTGCGAAAATAAACTTGTGCCATTAAAAAAATACAGGCCTGAAGCAATGACCCGAGAAATCCCTCTCTGGCCATTGCTGGGTTGGCTTCTGATACTTGAGGTTTTGAGGTAGTGTCTATTCTTCCCGTTCAATCAAGCCTATCCGAATTACATTAACATGACAGCCTTACGTTTAATCTGGGGTCTTCCCTAAAACTTTGGACAGTGATTTAAAGTATTGTTCATCTCCAAACAGTATTGTTTACATTGTATCCAAGTTGATAGCCTCGTTTTTTCACGCAATTAGTTTTTCTGCAATATTCTGCTATGCACTGGTTAATTGGGAATAATAAAATCGCGAGTCATGACGTAAAGTTATGTAAACATATTTAGTCCAATTTGGAGCTCTGTTTAAAGCGTAATGTACACATTGGACGTAAAATATCCCTTGGCATTTGGAATTCGATATATGAGTATGCCGTAGCGCTGTTGTCTGGACAAAATTCCCCTCATAGCAGAACCGTGGGACGTTAAACCCCATTTCATTTCATTTCATTTTATTTTGTTTTTATTTGATTTGATTTCAGGCTCTTGAAGATGGGTAAGGTATTGGTGACCCGCCAGTTGATCATCTGCTTAGGAATCATACTGGTAACGATTTTATTCATCCGCCAAACACCCTCCCCACGACCAGTAGTGATACAACAACTACCATGTGAGGCATTATTTGAAAATCCTGATGATTTTCCTTACCATTTTACAACAAGAAAAACTAGAGTTACCCCCCTTGACTTCAATCTTTTAACATCTGGTCACGATATTTGTGAAGCCGACTCCATAGACATTGTCATATTGGTTGTTACCGAACACAATCATGTACCATTACGTCAGATGATTCGATCCACGTGGGGTGCTAAAAAGACCGTGAGGCGGGGGTCGAAACGCTGGAATATCCAGACTGTTTTCTTATTCGGATTACACCAAGACAAAAATATGAATCATGATGTGAAGTTAGAAGCTGCAATTTATGGTGATATTGTGATATTTGACTTTAAAGATTCTTATTATAATTTAACCTACAAAGTATTATTGGGTTTGAAATGGGTTCAAGATGCCTGCCGCCAGGCGAAGTATGTATTAAAAACGGACGACGATACTTATTTAAATTTGCCTGAAATATTACAAAGACTGGAGTCTGAGGAGTGGAATACAAAAATATGCGGTTGCTTTTCTCAGTCCGAGCCGGTTGAAAGAAATGACATTAAATCAAAAGTTAGTATGAAAAGCTACCCTATTAAGAATTATCCCCCACATGTAAAGGGTAGGGCATATTTCATGCCCAGACATATAGCAACTAAACTAGTGAGTGTCGCGGAATATATCCCATACGTCAATATAGAAGATGTACACGTGACGGGTATATTAGCAAAAAGCGTGGGAAATATCGAGCATCGCGGTTTAACAGAAGAGGAATATCACCCGTATCACCCGGCCAAAAATTGTGAAATATTAAGCGGTAATATTTTAGTGTCATCAACAACTGCCGAAACCGGACTGGCAATATGGAAGGAATTGCAAGATGGTAATACTCATAAGAATTGTGACCAAACAAACTACTAGAGTAGTGCCAGTTCCTACCACTATTTTGAAAATGAAATCTTAATCAGTTGCTGATATTGCTCAAACATTATTTGATGGGTTCTTCCATGGCGACTACACAATAACCGAAACAATATTTAGACAAGGTTTTAATCAGCAAGCTGCTTTTATATGAGCCTTGAAGGTGTTCATTTAATAATTTCAATTACTATTCAATTGATCGTAAGTTTGCGTCCATTCTTGCTGCCATGTGTTCATTTAGGTATTTTCATGTGATCGTATCTTGTCCGCATGTTTGTCTTCTGTAATTGTTTATGTGTAGCGGGGTCCTCCTGTATATATTATTAGAACTCTTCTGAGTTAATTGACATACCGGACCAACCAGAAATATTTTAAATGTTAATGTGGTGTACTGCATTCATTAATCATACATCAACAATTCATTCAAATACATATTCAGCATTTAACTATATGAGTATGAGGAGAACTTCATTAAATATTTTAAATACATAGTTTTTTCATCGGGTTAGATTCGATGACTATTTGGGTACAAGAAAACCAACATTGCATGATGATAGAAGGAAATTTTCCAAATCCCAACATTTTCGAAACCATTATTATGTTAAAATCTCGGGTTAGATTGGATTCTGATCTTAGTAACCATATTTTTTTTTATCGGCAATACCTGTGATATATTCGTCTAGTTCTGGAAATGTGCCCCGGAATAGTAAAATTTTGTTATACATGACAATACTGTTACTCAGCCTCCAGGACAGGGAGGGGGGGGGGGGTGGATGGCCGAATGGTTAGCACGTGCCCACTGTATCATAAGGCCTGTCATTGAGTCAACTGGCGTGGTTTCGAATCCCCAGTTGTACACGACAGGGATGCCTGTCCAACTTCGTGGGTTTTTTCCGGGTCTCCAGTTTCCTTCCACTGCTAAAGACCCCTACGCGCAAGCGAATTATTGAAATAAAATTAAACCATGTTAGTCCCGAAATGACCCAGTTTGTGTCGAGTGGACGTTAAACCCCATTTCTCTCTCTCTGACTCCTGGACACACTGTTGACATAACGATTTATAATTTGTATGAGGATATAATTTGTACTGTTTTTGCTTAGAGAAATCCTGCCGATTTCATTGTTTACATATATTTAATCTGGTTGCATTAAATTTCTAATTCTAAAACAGAAATGGATGTCCTGTGGAACAAATATTTTTTGTTTAACTACTTATATGAATTCAATGGCGGCGGGGCGCTCATATGTTTTTTTTTTCTTTCTAATTAACGTAAATGAAAGTAGAATAGCGACGACCAAATGTTACATCTTCCGAGAGTATTTCTGGTGTGGTGGTGAAATCAAGGATACAAAACAGATATTCTATTCATACCCGGTATTATTGTTTTCATATGGGGTTTGAAAGTGAACACTTACTATTGCTCAATTTTGTATAATATCGTTCATAGTATTTTCTTTTTCACCGACTGTTATAGTTTGTATTGTATAGCATGCCTTAAAGCCTTGTGCATACATGTGATATTTTATCCTGCTCGAGCAATTCTTACGCAACCAGCGATTTTGTTTAACTCACGGTTATTATGTATGTATGCGCGAACAAGATTTTTGCAGGCGACTGTTCACGTATTGCTACCGCTAATAATGACTGTGACAAAGTCAAAATGGCGGCGCCCATGGATGAAAATCTCGTCGCATCATGTTAGTTTAACTTGCACAGATTGGTGAAACAAAAAAATTGGCCGCATATAGAGCGATTAAAGTAGCGAAGTCTCTTAACTCAATATCATCCAAAGTCTTACACGTTGAAAACACAAATTATTTGTCAATTCAAACCAACATTGATGTTGTGGTCTTAGCGGGAAAAGGTAGGCTTCTGATATCCAATATTTAAGATAAAATAAACATTTTACATTGGTACACGAATCGTGTACCATAGTGCGTTTCAGCGTCATGTGTAACAAGTGACCAGTAAGAACGAGGCTAGACATTCCACAACTCATTCAAACGGTGAATGTAAATCAGTTTATATACAATCAGATTACATTATTATATGCGTTGCGACCCATTTGGGTCAATTTCTAGATCCCAAATATTAGGGATTTAGCTCCTTTAATGTACGAGTTCAGAGCGACAGGCAATTCTCTGTCGCCGAAAAGCATACCATTTTGATATTTGGCTACTCATCGCCGACAAATGTCGAGATCCGTTGCTGTAGCTGTCACGCGCACACGGACGTTTTCTGGCATTTAATGGGCAATTTAAAGTCACTTACATGGCTTAAGAAAATGGCTCGCGTCCATAAGACACGCCCTTTTCCAATTGAAGAAGCCATCGGGTATATAATTCCAGAATGAAACTTGTTCAGGGCCGGATTGTTGTGGAATGGGAGGGGGTTTGACTGCGTCTTATTTCACTGTTGATGCGTGAGCCCCAGTAACATTTTCATCCATGGGCCCCATACAAGCTTAATCCTGCCTTGACCTTGACATTTACATAATTATTACTGAATTGCTCTGTGTACTGTTATTTTTTAAGAATTCACTGTTTTATGTACTGTAACATTGTACAATTGTATTATGCATAAAATGACATACATTTATATTATACTTTTTATACGCCCACATTTTCATGTGAACGTATATTTTCGTCGCCCCTGTCCGTCCGTCCACAATTTGTTTATGGACACTCAACAGGTCACAATTTTTATTCGATTTTGACGAAACTTAACATATAGGTCTATCTCCCAAAGATCTCGGTTCCTTTCGATATTGGCATATATTGGACCATAACTTCATGGATTATTACCCCGGATTGTACGAAAAATTACGTTTGTAGTTTGTGGACACTCTAGAGGTCACAATTTTCATCTGACTTTGATGAAACTTGAAATACATGTTAATAACCCAAAGATCTTGGTTCCTTGTGATATTTGCGCATATTGGATCGTCACTTCCTGAATTATGGCCCCTGATTGTACGAAAAATCGATCGGCTTTTTAGCTTGTGGTCCCTCTTGAGGTCACAATTATTATCCGATTTTAAAAAAATAGTTACACTGTAATGATGGTTGAGTTCGAATTTCGTGAAAATCGGACAAAATGGTCCCCCTCGTACGCTAATAGCGTAAAATAACCCAAAGCTCTTGGTTCCTTTTGATATTCGCGCATATCGGAAAATCGGACCAAAACTGCCGGACAAATGCAAATAGTGTAAATATATGGTTAATCAAGGTTGTGGACCATCTAGAAGCCACAATTTTCTCCGATTTTGATGAAACTTGACATATATCTTTATAACCCAAAGATCTCGGCTTTTGTCGACGTTCGCGCATATCGGATCGTAACTTCCTGAATTATGGCCCTTAATTCTACGGAAAATCTTTTTGTTTAGCTTGTTCTCTATCCATCTCTTGCAAAATGTAGGTGTATCTGCCTGACAGCCGCTGGTTAAAAGTGTGGATGGTCGTGTACTCGTTGGCGTTGACGTAAAATACATTTCCCTCGTAGCACACTGCGTGGAGCACGACCGTCTTCATTAGCCCAGTCGGAGTAGTAGGACGTTAAACCCCATTTCATTTTATTGCATTTCATTTGCCCGCTGGTTCAGAAACGTAAGACGTTAAGCCGCATTTCATATCATTTCAGTGGATGCAAAGCTATGTATTGTATAGAAACGGTTCGTATACAAGGACCTGTTTTATCTAGATCTCACTGCTGGTGTGTAGGTTTACCCTCTAGAAAGTAGAATGGCGGCGTTGATCTATTTTATAATAAGATACTTTGACAGTTATAAATCTAATAAGCATATCAAGACACTGGATCCCGCTTTAATCTATTATATACCGTGCTTTCAATTAAGAAATCTAATTAACCTAAACAGATATCGTAATGACCATGACGCAATGTACCAGTCATTATGATACATGATTTGTCATAACCAGTCGGTTACACCATTTAGAATAGCTAATTGACAATGTGACTTTCTATATTCAGAATTTATTCTGTAATTGTTTATTTGAGATTTTTAGCCAGAAGCTGGAACTAGATTCTAGCTTTGGCATCATGAAACTCGAACAGGACCTGGGCGGATACAACAGTTTGGTAGGGGGTATATATTTATATAACAGGGGGTATCATATGTCGGTTAATGTCCACTTCCAACTTCAGTGATAGAGCGGACAAATCTAGATAGTTGACCGCTCTCAGTTATTCTAAATGGTGTATTCTAGGTTGGGTATTATCACCCATTTTCATGTATAATGCTGTGTAATTTATTATTATATATTAAAATGTGCATTTATAATTCATTAAATAATTAAACTGTATTTTATAAAATAAACTTTTCACGAGTTTTTACTGAATCATGTCGATGATATATTTCTGTCGAAGTATCTTCTGATAAATGACATGATTTCCGTTATTGGAATACCTGCTTTCCCTTAAGGTGGAATTTGTTTTGTTTTGTTTCTCGAAATAGTGCTCAGCAATTAAAACTATTGCACCCCATAGAAACATGCCCTGTGCATTGGTGCTTGTGTGATCTTATGTATTGCACTAAACATACATTATGCAAGAGCTAAATCTGTCTATTGCAGGTCTTTCTTTAGGCCTGAAATGTTCTCTAAATTATTAATTAGACATTAATTAACTTATCCAGACCATAATCAACTCTAGATGGCATCGCTAGCCTGCGATCTTAAAGCGGAAATTGCAAATTTTCAAGTTATATTTTTAAAATGTATTAAAATAAAGCCTTAAAATAGATGGTATCCATAAACAGTCCTACCTTGTTAAAGAATAATCCTATTAATCCTATAATTCGCTATTGCCAGCTGAGAAATTGGCAAAAATATCATTTTTAACTTCAAATTCCAACGTTTGAAAATGGTTGCCCCATGTTGTCAATAGCAAAACAGGGGAGGTAATTATGTTATTTCCTGTGTCATAGATATTTAAGGGTGGGAAATAATGCCCATGATCGTATAATAGTGATTTGATAACCTATTGAGCAAAAGACATTGAAATAATTGTTTTGACTTTCTTAGAAAATTTGAAATTCTCGCTTTAAGTGGAATGTGAGCCGATTTACTGCATAACTTTCATTCTCGATTTAACGATTAAATGGATAATCGAGACTATGCTGTTTATCGTACTGACTTTACTAATGATGACCGAGGCTAGGCATAAATTTCATTCGCTTAGTTCTCGGTTCATAGTGGATCAATTTGAATGACATTTTCAGAAAATTGACTTTACGTTATCTAGTTTTTAACTATTATAGTGAGAACTGCCAACTCGTTATCGAATCTCCCATAATGTATCTTTAAGCCTGCTGTATATATTGCAAATAGAATCATGTCCTGTACATCTTATGAATTGCTGTATATAATTTACAACATTAAATGTTAGCTATAAGTGCATCCGATAAATGTATAAAACGGGTCAATCGTTCATATGCGGATACAAATGTCAACATTGGCACAAATATTCCTTTCAAGATGGTCGACACTCCGGCACAGAAATACCATTGTTTATGATAAAGTCACGCCGCATTGGCATATTTTATTGATCCTTAACATATATATACTCTTCAAAAAAAGTAGGGGATATTCAGAAACAATGCACTGCTGTTTTTATTAAAGGTAACCAGTGTATGTTAATAACCGACCAATTGCCTGCACATGAACATAAACAGTTCATATGGGCGGCTTATCTGAAGGCACCATTTCCCTCGCAAAGAGATAACTGTCAAAAGTGAAAATGGACGTTTTTGATTTTTGTCTTAATAATGAGTAATTGCTCCACCAATACTAAGACATTCAGCAATTCGTCGCGGCATGCTCCTTATCGACCCCCAATCACGATTTAGGGCAATCTGACAAACTCCTCTTGCGGTGCCGCGGCCAATTCTTTCAGTGTTGTCGGTTGACGTTGACGTCGACGAACACGTCTACCGATCATGTCCAAGGCATGCTCTATAGGGGAAAGGCCAGGACTCATGGCTGGCCAAGGCATATGGACAATATGGTGACGCTGGAGGTAGTCATTCACGACACGAGCGCGGTGGGTACGGGTATTATCATCTTGAGAGGTGAAACATCGACCTGATTTTGGGCAAAGGGCAGAACTATCGGTGCCAGGATGTGGTCACGGTAGTACACACCAGTAACCTTTCCTTGAACAATATGCAAGTCCGTTCTGCCTGTCATGGTGATTACTCCCCCACCATAGCAGACACACGCCCGAATCTTGTCATGCTGTCTGACGTTAACGTTAGCATGGTGCTCATTTACACGTCTCCAAACGCGAGCACGCCTATCGGTGAAATCCAGAGTAAATCTGGACTCATCTGAGAACATTACACGCGCCCATCGACGATTGGGTACATCGACGATAACCCCATTTTTTACGTTGCTTACACCCTTTACGCCTGTTTGCCATGTGCTGACGAGTTAATGGAGGCACAAAATGCGGTCGTCGCGCATGCAAATGGGCTACATGTTGCCGATATAATCGTTTGGGGAGTAATTTGGTACAAGTTTACATAAAGCTGATTGGCCGTTTGTCCTCGATTTCGCAGGACCTGTGCACGAATGTATCGATCCTGGGCTTGTGTAGTGGCTCTAGGACGACCTGAACGGGGTCTATCTTCAAGATTGTGTGTTCGTTGGTACTGGCTCCACGGTCTGCTGATCATAGACTGTGAAGCATTAAAAGCATGTTGGCTACTGCGCGCTGTGTAGAACCCATTTGAAGCATGCCAATAGTACGTAGACGTTCATCATGTTAAAGACGTCTCATTGCAAATTAAACGTAACACACTAAAGCAAAGATAAGCTAAACAGTAAATCTTATACAAGAACTGATAGGAAAGCAAACGTGGATAGGCTAAACCAGCACGCGGCAGTTTTCATCAACCCTTCCTTGAAGTGTCAAATTTATCATATCACAACCTGCATAGGTATTTGCATTTCAATATCCCCTACTTTGTTTTGAAGAGTATATATTATTAAATTTCATCTACACCGGAACACACATATTGTATAAACGGCAAGAACCAGAACCCAAGAAGGTGCGGTCTGATGCAAGCCAAACCCGAACTCCCCTGAGATCTGTTGTTCTGTAACATATATCGCAAGTCCACAAGAAGATAAGGGCGTAAAATGTCCACTCAATCGGTCCAATGGGTAAAATTCTGTGAAAGAGAAGGCCAAAATAACAGCCATTTTGGACAATGGCGACCATATTGAAAATTCAAGCGGCAAATAGGATTTTCTGAATTAAATGACTCTAAACGGACCCCAATGTAAACTTTACTGCTAAAAATCCCGGTTTTACACTTAGCAGCCCAACTATATGTGATATCAGATGACGTAATGACACATAATTCTTCTAAAAATGAAAAGTACAACAGAGTATTAGCGGTCCAACTAATCACCGACAAAAGCGCCTAAACTATTGAAAAAGGTGACAGACAAGGAAATGGAAATATGTGTGATGGATATGCACACCATATCCAAAATGTAAATGATTTCATAAAGAAATTTACAAAATTATTGATAATTCAAAGTTTGGCAAAGCGACGTAATAGCTATGGTTGTTCATGCTTCGCTAATTTGCAGTGTTTTTAGTCCCATACTGGCCATAGGGCATAGATACAGTGTCGGTGAACGTCAGTCAAAGGCCACTTTATACTGATTCAATGTTTATGGTATATATGCCTGTAAGCTAGATGATTCGACTCTCTAAATTCGACCCTGTCCCAACCCATTTGCACCCTAACTCCTCACATTAAATCTTGGTTCCTCAACTATGTTTTCTTATATCTGTTAGCCTATATCTACTGCGTTCTATGTAAGCTTTGATACAAATAATATCGTTGGTTTGCTTTGCTATAGCATTTAACTTTTTGCGAAATGAGAAAAGGAATTAGACCGGTAGAAATTCGAATATCCACGAACAACTTCAAATGAAATGACGATAAAAGAGAATCCCCGTTAATAAAATCACCATCCCAAGGGAAAACAACTCTTACAAACACCCCCCATCGTTAATGTAAGCCGCAATAATATGCAATGGCAAAAATCTGGAATATATAATGGACTAGCTCCAAAACACTAATCGCTTAGAAATAATTAGTTGTAGTGAGGGGCTGTAGTAGACAAATAATAGTAATAATAATAATCATAATCATAATAGTAAAATAATAATAATAATAATAAATTCAATATATACATTACAATCAACAAAATAATTTCAACACAATGTTTTATCCAATCTATATTTTAGGATTTATTCAACCCCGTCATACACGCGCACGCGCAAGCAAACAATCCGCATACACGCGCACACGCATGCAAACAATCCGGATGGGGAGAATTTTTTTAGAAAAAAAAATGAATCCTTTTTCTATATGTTTCAAAAAAGTAGGACATAATAAAACGACATATGACAAATAATTATATGTCGTCCATTGTGCTTGTTTTGTTATACCAACCCAAACCTCAAAAGAAAAGAAAATATTCCGAAAATCTAGATATCGGTATCTTGGTCTATCATTTTTATATCGCGTTTGGTTCTCCGTATATTGCTATAAGGCGAATCAACACCGAGATCAACCTGGCATACAATAAGTCACCATATATTTTTTTGTCGTTTTAACATGCATAGGGTGAATCCAACCAGCATGCAATAAGAAATTCGCTGGATAACCGTGACTTCACTGAAATCGCGTGCTCGACAGACCCTGGCCCCTACATCTAACCTCGACTGTATGACGGTAAGTGATATGTAGCTACACCCATACATGAAATGAAATGGGGTTTAACGTCCTACGCTGTTTTGCTCCTAAACTGGGCTTTTGAAGACGGGCATACGCCATACAGTGTGCTACGAGGGAAATTTTGCCCGGGCAGCGGCCCTACGGCCTACTCTTATATCGAATTGAGATAAAACAGTCTTCACTTTTTAAGATACGGAACTTAACAGTAGAATTCGTCACACAGTCGAGGTTAGATGTAGGGTACAGGAGTCTGCCGAGGTTTGCCGAATAGTGCTTGGTATAACTGAAATGAAATGAAATGAAATGAAATGGGGTTTAACGTCCTACTGTTCTGCTCCTATACTGGGCTAATGAAAACGGGCATACGCCATACAGTGTGCTATGAGAGAAATTTTGCCCGGGCAGCGGCACTACCGCCTACTCTTATATCGAATTCCAACTGCCAGGGGATCTTTTACGTGCATTCCAATATATACACGGGACCTCGGTTTTTCGTCTCATCCAAAGGACTAGACAGCTGTCCTTGTCAGGCCCTCCGTTCTGCACCACTGACAAGGGGAAACCACGTCGGAAAATCTGGATGAACTTTCTCGGCCAATGCGATTGGTATAGCTAATCCGAGCTTTCGATAAATAAAACAAATAGAAAGTAGTCTATTTTTAGTAACTAGGTTATTGTCTGATACCGACACATTTCTGGAGGTAGACCACCATTAACTTCCCCATTGACTTCAATGTTAATTCTGGCCTCTTTGCCCACCTCCAACTTTTCCCCAAATAATTTTCGTTGGGCTGAATGCTTTTCACTACAGACAGAGGAACAATGGTCATGTCTTTGCACTAAAAATTTTATGAGGTTGACCGCCAAAATTTTGAGATACACAAACTTTAAGAAGCATACTAAAAACATGTAACTACTTGCCGGACATATCACCGTAGCCAACATGATAACCCCGTTATCCTTCCGCCTCAAAATCATGAATATTTACCAAAACCTGGCAGAAAATGTTAATTCAAACCCTCTTCGTCCATTCTAGACCAAAAAATCAACAAAAATGGGCATGCAAAAGGGGAGAAAAGAGACAGAGAGAGAATTGCGATAAATAGAGGAACTACAATTTGGGTACCGAAATGGTGAAATGTAATGGTGTTTGCCTCCTCCTTTGCTAATGGTAATCATGAATGTTCCAGGAAAAAACCAGTAGATTTAAAGAGCAACAGAAACATCTTTGACACGATAATTGGAATTGCGCATTAGACCCGTATTTTGACATTAACCACGCCCGACCATAGCAGTATGTTTCACGGAGGTTTACGAAAGTCTTCTAATGTCTCTGTAAAAGATGATTGCCTTCAACACGTGACGCCACATCATGTAGTGTCAATCATTGGCTCAATGGCGCGTGCATTGTTTACATAAGACGTTAATGGTTCGGACATCCATGTCATCCTTATCAGTGATTGTAGCGATCTAGTGAATATCCACTACTGATCAGTGTGCGAATGTAATGCGAAAGTTATCTTTAGTCTCCCTCTCCCCCCTTTGCATGGCGGTTTTTGTTGACTTTTTGGTGTAGAATCGAAGAAAAGGGTTTAAAATACATTTTCCGCAAAGTTTTGGTGAATATTCGTGAATTTGAGGCGGAAGGATATGAAAGTTGAGAGGCTGGTTAGGTGGAAATATAGGGCGGAACATGTAGAAATATTGTCGTTGCGACATTGTTTTCAAATTTATAGACAAGAAATAGAGAAAAATGATGGCATTATATTATATTAATTAATATATTTGGCAAATTATTAGATTCACATGTACTTAAATTAAGTTGGCGAATGAGTGGCATATTGTTACATAAAAAAGAGTTATAATTTGGTAAACATTAGCTGTTTCTGTGGGAATATCATGTATTACATGTGATAGGAAAATTACGATTGCATCATTTGGCTTGTTTAACCAATCTCTATACTTATTTACATCATATTTGACCAATTAGATAATTGAAGGTCCAAAACCCAAAGCTACAAAACTATTATACTTGTGAGAATTCGTCAGACAGCAGACAGATTCTGGAAGGGAAAAGAAGTAGCAATTTCTATCAGCAGACTCGCCCATCGAGTCTGGCTGGCTAGTGTTTGAAAATGACTTTAATATTGTAATCTATACTATGCTTGTATCCATGATATATAAAATGTAAAAACGAACTGTTGCATTGTTTTTCATGGAAAGACACACGTCTTAACTGAGATAGTCAAGAAGAAGTAAATACACAACGTGGAGGGGAAGCAAAGACGACAAGTGAAAATACTAGACGATCACAAGGCTACTAAGATTTGTAGTAAGAAAAGATGCATGGGTCGAGCGTAGGATATGGCGACCGGATTTGGTTCCCCCGCTCTCCACGTCTGACAAAAGACCCATGGTGCTACAAACATTGCATGTTTTGCTGGACTTGTCTACGATATCACCCTTGGTGTAAGTGGACGTAAAACTCCAAGAACGAACGAACAATGTATACTGGTCTTTACTTCGAAGTTTGTCATGATGAACCTCATAAACGTGCTTTTGAGCAAGGGTCGGTTGCCACATTTTGCCCTATTTGTGGTAGAAAGCTTCCTACCCAACGAAAATTTGACAAAACGTTAGAGTCGGTCTAAGAGATGAGAATTAACATTAAAAGTCAATGGGAAAATCATTGGTGATCTGTGGCCAAATAAACTGTTGTTAGACGCGAAGATTGTCAGCTCAAATCATTGAGGGATAGTCCATTTATCAGGATGTATTTTCCGTTACTTACTGTCCATTTATACATATTGAGGCCTAGTGAATTCTTAATTATTTTCTGTCAACTACTGTATCCGCCCTTTAATTGTGGATTCTTTTGTACGTTGACCCCCCCCCCCCCCCTCATCATGTTCCCAAAAACGGCTAACCATTTGATCAAGAAATAACAACCGCTCCCTCAGTCAAGCTAGCACACAATAAGCTGGCAGACAACAGTCGGGTTGCCAGAGTGATACCTTGACATTTTTGCCCAGTGCTTGCCCTATGGGTGTTTGTCGGGTATTCAGTATTTTCCTAGTAAGATTGTATGGTGGTCTATTTCGGCCGCGTCGCCTTTCCTAATGCGCATGTTCCGGGAGAATTCATTCGCAGTTTATTTGCCGTTTGGTATTTTATCTTCAATACATTGATTTATGCTGGACACAAGGAACTATCATGAATATCCTTTATTTATCACCCAATAATACATCCTACAGTAGATATCGCTTTTGTGATATATTGCATAATCTACTGGTCAATTGAAAAGGAACTACTTTTTTTTTATTTTCAAAGAACAGTTCATTTCTTATTAAAAGTAACCTTTTTTTTTTTAATTAAAAATGAACTATTGTTATTCAATTGACCTCGATGGAAACACGGGGCCAATATTAAGGACTTTGCAATGGTTGAATTGCTGTCAAAAAATGATGTATCACTACGACGTAATGTTCAGTAAAAATGAAATCTACAGCAAAGAATTTTATTTATCTATTTGTGCATGTAAGAAGGGGTTGGGTGATAAATAAAATCTGCTACTCGTCTTTTTTATATTAAAAAATATCAACTTGTGTTGAGATATTTTTTGATATAAAAAAAGACTGGTAGGAGATTCTCTATATAACAAGACATTTCTATAATATCCAGATTATATATGTTATATTTTAAATCTCTGTTCTAAACATAAAATTTTAAACTCTACTGTGAAAGAGTGACCTTGTGCAGATACAGTAATACACCATAGTTAAACAAACGATGAAAGGGTGCAGATAACGATGTTGTAGGTGTTGTTTCCGTTATTTACATCAGTTGTTTTATAGGTTCTCAAGACAGAATTAATACGAGAATATTTTTATTGTGGATATCCTACGACGAATATAAATATTAGCAACCCTAAAGTAATCAGGTTAAGATAGATGTTGAAAAAATCCAAGATTAGGTTCACTTCTGCACTAGTTAACCTAGTCACAAAGGCAGCTACTAACAGGGCCCTCACAAGCCCATGTGGCACCCCAGGGCAAACGTTTCAGTGACGCCCCCCCCCCCCGCCATTGCATACTGTATCTGCTTTGACTAAGCATGAAGTTGGCCTTATGATCGCATCTAACCCCATATTAGCCGTTAGATCTAGATATTAAGGCCACCTGCAGATTTCGTCAAAGTCACGAGATGTAAACTGGGCTAACCCTAACCCACAATCCTAGGCAACAATGACGTGCCCTAATTCTGTTTACCTATCGTGACCGTGACGAAATCTGTTGGTAGCCTTTATATCCAAATCTGACCCACATTAGCCATACCAAGTACGTGAGCTCATTGAAGTCACGGTCATTCAGCGAATTGCTTATTGTATGCTGCCTTGAATCAGTCTTCTAAAATGGGTTAGGGTTAGTATTCTCCGAAATACTCATTTATATATATAAAAAAGTGGCCATTGTGGACTTCAAAACCACCGAACCTCCCCAACCGGTTAGATCTATTCGATAAGGCCAACTTCAAGTTTGGTCAAAGGTCGAGAGATATAAATTACAGAACTAGCGCTAAATCCCCACCCTAATCCTAACAGTGGACCTCGCCCTAATGCTTACCTTAATTCTAACCTACAATCTCGCCAACAATCGTGTGCCGTAACCTTATGTACATCTCAGCGACTTTGACTAAAATTGAGCTGGCCTTAACAAACAGATTTAGCCCTCCCCCGACTGGCCTACAATTAGCCAATCTGTTTTACAGACCTAATGCGACATCCGTCTTTTATCGCTGTCCAAGATGACTGACCTTTAAAAGGTCAGACCGCTGTAGTTCTAAGGGTGACGTCACATCACAATGTTTACCAACAAAACAAGATGGCATCGATAACGCCAAAAAAGATTACTTCTGTGGCTTGTTTTGTTGTTTTAAAACAAACACGAGCAGGTCAATCATATTAGACGGTAAAAAATGTACTTCTGAAAGAATTCAGAGTAAACAATAAGAAAAAAACGTCAAATTGATGGTCACACGTGCGTTGTTTACATCGAACGTAGTAATATGAACTGGTACGGGCAGAATTATATCGTTTTACCCATTTTACGCCTCCGCGTACTATTTTCTGTACCTATATACACTAAATATGGAATATTTTTTATCAAGAAAACACCTTTATTTATTTTTCTAATACTATAAAAAAATATTTCAGAATTTAATATGTCGAAAGAAAAAAGTTAATATTTTGTAGTCATTAAGTCGCATCGATGTCATCCTTATCAGTGATTGTAGCGGCCAAGCGAATATTCACTGCGGATCAGTGTGACAATTAGCATCTCCCGTGTTGAGCCGACTTATTGTGTGGTGGCTTATTGTATGCCTGGTTGATCTCGACAACATCAAGAGACAACGTACTCCATCGAAGGTTAGTTAAAAGCTCGAACAGTCGATATTTTCATTACTAATTAAGTATGAAGCCTTGCTTGGTGGGCTAACTACAGTATAGTATGATACGATTTAAAGTTTACTGCTTGATGTATAAGGTTTGAAATGGGTTGATTGTGCTTCATATTCATAGTCTGAAAAGTGGTTAGTCTACGCCTCTCTTAGTGTTAGTTACTTAGTCTGTAGTGTAATACTAGATTTTCATTCATAAAATTTTTGTTTTTTAAAACGGTCAGTGCTTGTATATGAAATCCCCACATATGTTTATGAAATTGTGTTTCTAGCAGTTAACCATACAATTATAACATTATTCGAATGTGGTATTGTGTCGTCGTGACAGCAAAGTCTTTCCCGAAGGTTAACTAGGTCAACGATTCTATATGTATGGAGGACTGTAGAGGATAACTCACCAAGAAAATTATTTGTTGGAAATTTTCTTGTAATTCTATGCGCAGTGATTATAAATGTGACATTTGTGGATGAAAGAATCCTTGCCAATAATTCGTGTGGACTTCTCAGTGCTTCGTTTCGTCACAAATGTAGTAAGGCGAAGCTTACATATTAAATATACATTATGGGAGATTAAATAAAGAGTTGGCAGTTCTCACTATAATATTTAAAAACTAAATAATGTAAAGGGGATTTGCTGAAAATTTCAGTCAAATTGATCCACTCTGAATCGAGAAATTAGCGATTGAATTTTCGGCCTATCCTCGATCATCATTACTAATGTCGGTACGATAAAAATCATAGTCTCGATTATCCATTTCATGATTTAATCATGAATGAAAGTTGAGCAGCAAATCGGATCCTAATCCAGTAAATATCTCAGGCTAGCGATGACATCGAGAGTTGATTATGGTCTGGATAAGTTATGTCTAATTAATAATTTAGATAACATTTCAGGTCTAAAGAAAGACCTGCAATAGGCAGATTTAGCTCTTGCACAATGCGTTTAATTGACGTTATTCTGGACAGATAATGTATCCAAGCATGCGTGTCTTATTTATAAGGAAAATTATACCTTATAAGGTAAGATACTAATAGTTACCTAAATCTAGTTATAAGTATTGAAACTCCAAAATGTGAAGCGTTTGAGAAAATGTTCATCATTATGGAAAATTTCACCCAAGATCTGAATTCAGCTCCCTCGATCAAGTTTACAAAATATAGACAAAATCCTATCAATAAAGTATCGTGATATAACTAGTACTTTAATAGGCTGTATTTCTTGCTTATTCATTGATGTACTTCATATTTTACAGATGAATTGAATGGTGGGGTTGTTGAACGTGTTCCGATGTTCTTCCAGAGATATGTTGGTAAGTTAAATATGCATATTTAATTACAGTTGGCATGGTACAGCGTGTGCTTATTCTTTCTGAACTCATGATACCACTTCATATTGGGTACATGTATCTATTATTCTCGTCTATTCTCATGATGTGTTTGATGGGGGCGAAGATGTAATGCTCGTTTTATTTCTGTTCAATTTAAGAATCCAGTTCTTGATTCTTTATAATATAAATTTCCGCATGAAGCTGAACTCCTCCCAGATGAGAAATACCAGCACTATAATGTTAGCGCACACACTTGTGAATGTAAATAAAGGAATTCAGATTCGAAAACTGGTTTATTAAACAATCCCAAATCCTTTTGTGATATATTGACAGATAACTCTTTTAGGAACAATTACGTACATTATTTACACCCAAGCTATTTATACAATGAATAAACTGCGTGTCACAATGGGTGAGATTGTACAATTTATGTAACACCCAGCACTTCAACTTCGTGTCATTACAACAATAAAAATTTAAATTTGAATGCCATTAAACCGTCATTCACAGAGTTATCACTCTTGACATTGTGAACATACGATACGTTAAAAATGGCGATTTTAATAAACTTGGTATAGGTATGTGATTTTTCGTTTAGTATAATCTATAAACAATAGTTTATTTATTTTTTCATTGGCATGAAAATTTTAAAAACAGGTGGCTTAAAATGCTAATGCAGCTTTCCACAAACAGAAACTTATTTTGCACTTTGAAAAAGTGTACATGTCAACTTAAAATAAAAAAATGAATTCACTATACATGTACTTTTAATTTCTATTAATTAAAGCACCAAAGGAGTTTATGGTCTTCTTTGACGACATGTAACCCACAAGACAGTTTGCAAATAGCCTTAAGTTATTAACTACAGGTTAAAGTCTTTTAAAAAGCATGATGGTAATTACTATCTGATATTCTTTAAAAATTTGGAAGGGTGGGTGTCATACTATTTTAGATAACCAGAAAATGAATTTTTTAAAAGTAACTACTAAAACTTTACTCATTAGTCTTGGATTCTATTTAATATCTTTACGTAACATGCGACAACTAGGTCGAAGCTTATATAAAATAGATAGACAAGCGTATTAGTTCATCAAAGATTAATCTTCGCCTCTGGCTTTGATTAACACTTAGCATTTAATGGTAAATAATTGATGGTATACAGTGAAGCATTTCTGTTCCAAAGTGTGGAGATGTATGTGAATAAACCTTTATTCTAGTAGTGTACAATTATCTGAAACTCTGTGATATTTTTTTTTCACATACCACGCTGTGTAATTGTCTTGATAATCATGTCTATATACATGTAGCCGAAGTTGTCTCTATCATTCAGACAAATATTCTACGAATATTAGCCTGGATGGTTTGTCAACATTTGAGAATAATAGGTCATTTTTGTAAAGCACCCAGCAAAAACGATAAATTGTTGGGATTGAGGCGGGGGGCATCAGCCTCACTATTGGCGTATTTTTTAAGATACCGATCCGTTGTCATTCAAAAAATTTCAAGAAGCGTTATTGAGAAAATATAGTGATCAAAAAGTTAGCAAATTTTTACATAAATTGTTTTTAACAAATTTACATGAAGTTAACAAATTTATATGAAAAAGGTGCACAATCCTTATAACAACAAGTATAGAGTTGATTAAAATACATTAGATTATGTTAACGTAATGCGACAATAACTATTGTGATTTGAGTTATGATATTGAAAGGGGGGGGGTAGTTTCGGTAAATCTTGCTACCGTTTAGAGAAAACTGCCAACCAAACAAGAACCGTTATGCATGAATTGTTACAAGTCATAAATTCTTGCAAAGCTAACTAAAGTAGATTTGGGTGGCCATGTGTATGTCCATTGATTGCAAGATTAAAGCTTAATTCAATCAAATCAATTCGAGCTTATGTTCGCGGATTAACAATTAGCCTAATGGTCTTCTTTACAGCTAATTATTTCTGTAAACAGAACAGTCCAGAATAATTTCATTCGTGCCATTTATATACATTAATTATTAGATTTCCCCTTTTGTTCCAGTTGAGTAATTATCAAGACCATCACTGTAATTGGCTAGTAGGCATAATTCAAACACAAGCGTTGCCAATGGAGATCCGGGCCTGCTCCTGGTGATACACCGACAGTAAGGGTGTATAACGTTTATTCATTTACCACAACATTGTTCTTGTCTGCGGTATTACTGTGAAAGGAGACCTTAATCCGCCAGCTACTACTACAGCATTGTTCGGATTAAAGTGAAGCAGAAGATGGAAAATTAATGTACATATGTAAATTAGAGGTGAGTTTAAAAGTAAATTTCTTTGTAAACAGTTGGAGAGAGAGAGAGAGTTTAACCTTTACTCGACACAGACTAGGTCATTTCGAGACTAACATATGGTTCAATTTTATTTCGATAATTCGCTTGCGCGTAGGGTCTTTAGCAATAGGAGACAACCGGACGATATGCGGCCCTATTTCTTGTAACGTACAAGCGGGTAAAAAAAAACCACATCAGTTCTCATTTAATAGTAATATTCGGTTCCTTATTTGTTTTTCTCAAGAATATAATGGAGTTTTTATGACAGTTTTCCCTAAATTTGTACACATTCGGAAATTTGTTGCCCATCAAAATGCACAGCCAATCTGATTAAAACAGAGATCCTATTTCGTTTGGTTTTTATTTCAAAATTTATTTTACTTGTCTTCACGTCTTCGCTGCAAGGCCATCCAAAGTAAAGGAAATGAAACGAAATATAGATCAAATTGGATACAGCGCCCACCCATATGAATATTTACCGATAACCTGTAGTAAGATGTTCTCGTTCATTATCAAGCTATAGTCTTAGCAATTTATATTAGGGTGCCCCACTCAGCTAAAAAATTATACTGTAATAAAAGTTAACCGTTCATCATCATTTCACAATCAAATGAAAATATCTAAAGGAATTACGCAAGCACCGATGCGCATGGAATGCCAGTAGAAGGTGTTGTTGGTCTATGAATAGCCAAGCACGCGATCATTTTAATACATCTTTCACTAAAAAATCTAATTTAAAGTATAGATTGCCAGTTGTGACAACAGCTTTAGGGGAATTAATACTTTCGGGTTTATTTATTGATTTGCTGTTTTATTAACTGTACCGTTAGGAGCGCCATTTGGTTTTGTAGAATTTATATCTTTAAAGATCACGACGCTTGCAACAATATATTAATATAGTCGTAGTTTCGTTTTTTCTCCCAACGTTTTTAAAACATTCATTAGCTTGACGCGCTGGCTATGTTCTAAATATGGATATTTTTTTTTAGGGAAAAATATTTGGTATGATATAATCTCACAAATATATCTAATGAAATACAGCATAAAGGAACATTTCTTGATGATTTGAGAATGAATCAGGTGACTATAGTCGTCGGTTCGGATATGTAAAGCGGTGCCATCAAATCGTTTACCACATCCAACGGTTAACATTCTCCAGCTTCACACTTCCTTAGCTTGTGCTCGTCTAAATTTGTCTCTGGCGTATATTATAGTAATTCTCTAATGGCTAGGACTTCGCTTGTTGTATCTATTTTTGACAGCTGCTAAAATGTTTATCAACGCGACCTCCCTCTACAACTGGTCAGATCTTCATGTAAACATATCCAACAGGGGAATACTACCGGTGTCGACTGGAATAACAAGACGTCGAAGACTGCCATTCAATTTGGACTTTTCGCTTATTTCGCCGAAGATAACTAAAACATAAACGATTGAATGTTAATTAGTCTATATATATTCATATTACATTCTTATATGCGTTGCGAGCCATTTGTGTCCATTTCTAGATGTCCAAGAATAGAGATTTAGCTCCTTTAAACTAATTTGGTATGGTAATTTTGGTAACATGTGCTAATTTTGAAGTACAATTTAATAACCAAATCAATTAATATACACACTGTATATTGATTTTGGGCATACACTGTACATACACATTTATAGCCAAATTATCTGGGGCATAGCACGGAAAACAGAGTATTACTGTTGTGTCTATAGGCTTGATATTGTTTGTATGGTTTGTATGAAGTTTATTTTTCCCCTGGAATTTTGAATCAGACTAAAAGAAACCGTGGACGAGACGCTAAACCAAATTCTATTCCCAATTTAAACCATCATTCGGGGAATTGTGAATTGAAAGAATGAATTAATGAACGAAAATGGGTGGGGTTAAGCGTCATTCTTTTTTGCACCATTGGGGTAATGAAGACGGGCATACGTCATACAGGGTTAGGTCTAAAAGCTGAGAACCATTACAGACTTCGTCATAGGTCACGAGATGTAATTAGGGTTAGGGCACGGTTAGGATCTACTACGTGCACGACAATGTGTACACGGTACCACGCTTTTTGTTGAACTCTAAAAGCATTTAGTTTTAAAATTATATAACATATTGATTTTACAATTGGGAAAACTTTTGCTGGAATTTGTAAATAAAATTGTGACCCACAAGTCATCATATTGGAATACTCACCCATTTATTATGCAGTTTTCCCCTCCCCCCTCTATGATAAGTACATATGGTTGTTGCTTTCTCCGGTTAATCATTTTCTATTCTTGCTGAATTATCTCCCATGTGCATATTCTTGTTCTTCCAGGTTATTATGAAGATGAGACAACTTTTAAACAGGACAAAATGTTTTGTTCTTATATCCGTTACATCTGTGTTCTCTTTACTTCTCTTATTCCTTCATGGTAACCGTTATCAACAAATGCACAGAACCTATGATACCAGACCTACCGTTCAACAATTTCATCAAATTCCAACTGTAATGTATACTACTACAGTTTATGAGTATCCGGATAATTACACACAGTACTTCAAAGCTGACCTCAATCGTGAAGTGACGCCTCTTAATTTTAAAACGCTGATTGACAGACCCGGTTTCTGTGACAAAAATTCTACATTTTTGATGGTTATAATTCTAACTATGCACAGTCATCTGGAACTGCGTAATAGTATTCGTACAACTTGGGGTGCTGCTGCACGAACCGGTCGCTGGGCGGGTAAATCGTTATCACAATCAGTGCAATATCTTTTTCTGTTGGGAATAAATAACTATTCACAGTGGAATAAAAAGGTAGAAGCAGAGGCGAATATACATGAGGATATTTTAATGTTTGACTATACAGAAAGCTACAATAATTTAACGTATAAAGTTTTAACAGGTCTCCAGTGGTTACAGAAAAATTGCGTTGACATTAAATACGTTATGAAAATTGATGAAGACACTTTTATACATCTTCCACGTCTCCTCGAAAAACTCTCCAGTCCAGATTGGAATCAAAGTATTTGTGGTTTTTATACAGAGTCAGAAGCGGTCATGAAAACATCGAAAAACGCCAATGATTTTTCTGTGTATCCATTTAATCACTATCCGCCGCATGTAAAAGGAAATATATATTTCATGCCATTTTCAATAGCTTCTCGCTTAGTGAATGTGTCCAGACATTTTGTTTTTAATGTTATAGAAGACGTGCATATTACTGGAATATTAGCCAGAGTTATCGGTTTCCGTAACAAATACAAAGGTTTTACAAGAGCGGAATATAGCCGTAGTATACCAGCGTCCGCTTGTGATATAGCCACTGGTATAAGGGTGGCCTCCACACATACCTCCCCTGCATATTATTCTGAAATATGGAACAAAATAAATGACCCAGAAACATGTTTATCAATTAGGCAACAAATACAAAAATATTTTGCTGGGAACGCCGGGTGAAATCCACGAAAACACATAATCCGGAACGTGATTAATTCCCCAATCTGTTGTGGGCTTTATTGATGATTGTTAGCCAGGGGATAAAGCCCAATTTTTACCACGGATTCCACATCTCAACGACTTGGTACGTTAAACATTATATCTGGCCTATCATGTCGGACGTCGCAAGTTTTGTATACAATCTATTTTGTTCTAATTACTTAGTATACTCAAATCAAATCGACGAAGATTTCAAATCGCCAAGTTTTGCATATGTCCTAATTTCATGTAAGTAGTCAATTCAGTTCAAATAAAATGATTGCATCAATCAAATCAGTGGAGATTCCAAAGCGTAAATGCCAGTTGAATTAATAACAAATTCAATTTGATGTATTTTGTGGCATTAATAAGAAATAAAATGGAGTTTAGCGTCCTACTATTCTACAACAAGTACTACTTAAGTAAGGCTACATTTCGACATATTTGGTCGTATTACAAGAAGAAAATGGGATTTAACGTCCTATACTATTCTGTATATCTGCACTAATTATGACTAAGAAAAGTAATCTTTATACCCAATTCATCATTTCCGATCAGTTCAGGTTATATACATACATTGTATGATGTTATTTTATTTTTTTGCTATTTCATCAACGGATATTAATAATAGTGTACTATTATATTTTTAAAATTGTTTCATATTTGTAAATTTTGCATTTTTAAACTTTTAATTGATTTTATTTAATGTAAGCTAATTATATAAGTAATGTAATATATTTTTTAAATTGTTTCATATCTGAAAATTGTGAAAAAATATATTGTTTTTTAAAAACACGATTTGTTGTAGCTATGAGGTTTTCTGATGCACGGGCCCAACTCATTGATTGTATCCCCAACTGCTTGATTGTCTGTCCAAATCCTTGATTTATTCCCAAATCCTTGATTGTATACCTAACTCCTTGATTGTATGTCCCACTCCATGATTGTATGTCCAATTCCTTGATTGTATACCCAACTCCTTGATTGTATGCCCCACTCCATGATTTTGATTGTATGTTCAATTCCTTGATTGTATACCCAACTTCTTGATTGTATGCCCCACTCCATGATTGTATGTCCAACTCCTTGATTGTATACCCAACTCCTTGATTGTATGCCCCAAAGACCCAGGACCTAGTACTCAGAAATTTGAGAAAGGAAGACATTTTAAATAATAGATAACGTAGGGCAGCTTAAAGAACAAAGTCAAACAGCGATAATTGCAGATTTCAATAACCATCTCCCTACACGCCAATGCAGACATACAAAGCTTTTGGTCTGTAACTAAATTCAATTAGTTTGATTTTGACTATAACATGTAGTACCTCCGGATTTTCCAGCGTGGTTACTCCTTTCAGTTGGAAATAAATTCGAAGTAAGGATAGACCATAGAACCACTGTACTGACAAAAACTCATTAGCCTGGATGGTGCAGAAAAGTAGGACGTTAATCCCCATTTCATTTCATTTTTGAATCGTTTCGCTGATCCTTCGATTTCTACGTCTGGTGGAAATGAAATGAAATGAAATGGGACCTTAACAACCTACCCTTTGGCACCCCATCCAAATGGCTGGAATACGTAACAATTTCATAACACTTTCATATAACTAGTGATGGGTGTCGTGTACCATGTTGGGTATGTATACTCCTTTTAGAACAGCTTATACTCCTTCTAGAACAGCTGATACCACTTGTATATTTATGGAGCACCTGTAAAACGTCTGGATTAAGCCATTGGGGCTGGAACTATGTCCCTTGTGTTATATGATGAGAAGAGTTAGGGACATGCTGCCGCTGATAAGGTAAATTTCTCCGCGCCCATTTCTTTAGTTCCAGGCGTAATCGTGCCTTTTGAGTTACAATGTTTATGGGTAATGTTAACAACCATTCATGGGCCCCAGTTGAACTCGCCTTGAATACCCACAAAAAAATAGGTTTCTCGTCAACGAGCATACAAGCTTTTTGTTCCCCGCCTTTCGAAGAAAGCAGGGGACTATTAAAATGGGTTCGTCCGTAAATCTGATTAAAACACAGGTCCGATTTCGTTTCGTTTTTATAGTTTAAAATTTCGTTTTACTTGTCTTTACTACACTAGGATCTGGAAGAGTTGTTTTCATTGACGTGTTCTGAATGGTGTGAGAGAGTAGCCAATATAACGGTCTGTTACGGCGAGCTTTAGGCGTATTTTGCACGAAACTGTGGGTAATCCACTAGTAATATCAATGCTGATAAGATAACCAAACGTCTGACGTCATAGGGTCAAAAGCCGCTCGTATGATCTCTGATGCGACCTATCGCAACAACCGGTAAGATCTTTATGTAGTGTAGGCCATCGAAAGTATAAAAAAAAATGGAACGAAATATAGATCTGTATTTTAATCAGATTGTCTGTCCGTCACACTTTTTGGGACACAATAACTCTCTTTCTAATTGAGCTAGAATGTTCAAACTTGCCGTAGGTTTTTATTAGGTCAATGCCTCGATGGAGTTCGAAAATAAGCAGAGATAAGCAATGTGATTGGTTTATGCTTTGGGACAGGATAACTTTAGTTCTAATTAAGTGAAAGTGATGGAACTTAGTGTATAGTTTCATTACATCAATACCTTGACTAAGGTCGATAATGAGCATTTTCTGTTCAGGGTAAGCAGAGCGATAAGCAATTTGATTGGCCAAGACATTCGACAACAATAACCCTCATTCTAATTGAGTTAGAATGTTCACACTTGGTGTAGGTGTTTTTTAGGAGAATGCCTTGATGGAGTTCGAAGAAGAGAATTGTCTGCTTAGGGTAAGCAAAGATAAGCAATTTGATTGGTTGATGCTTTGGGACACGATAACTTTAGTTCTAATTAAGTGAGAGTGAGGACACTTGTTGTATAGCTTTATTACATCAATACCTTGACCAAGGTCGGTAATTAATATTTTCTGCTGAGGGTAAGCAGAGCAATGAGCAATTTGATTGGTCGAGACTTTGGAACACAATAAGTCTCCTTCTAATTGAGTTAGAATGTTCAAACTTGGTGTAGGCGTTCATTAGGTGAATGCCCTGATGGAGTTCGATGATGAACATTGTCTGCTTACGGTAAGCAGAGATAAGCAATCTGATTGGTTGATGCTTTGGGGCACGATAACTTTGGTTATGAAGAAATGAGAGCGATGAAACTCCGAATATTGATTCATTATATCATTACCTTGACTAAGTTCGATGGTGAGACTTTTCTGCTTAGGCTAAGGAGCGATAAGCTAATTGATTGGTCAAGACTTTGGAACATAACAACGATCTGCTTTTAATTGAGGTAGAATGTTAAAACTTGATGTAGATGTTCATCAGGTGAATGTCTTCACTGAGTTTAGTGATTAACATTTCCCGCTAAAGCTAAGCTGGGTTTATCGAATTCATTGGTCGATGCTTTGGGACAAGATAATCTTGATTCTATCTGATAGAGAGTGGTGAAACTTAGGGTATGGTGGATAATCAGTTTAATTGCTTGATACTTTTGAAAAAAAATAAATGTGCGATTAATTAATATGTGTCATCTATTTATTTTGGGATTTCGGCGGGGGGCATCAGCCCCACTGTTGGCTTGTTATATATAAAGGCTGCACCCATTTCATTGTTTGAAGTTTCTAAAATAAATTTTCCAGGCCAACACCGGGAACGAACCCGCGTTCTTCAGGCTTTGGGCCTTTGTATATTATATCTGCTGAAAGAGAATCGGTTTCAGACGAGTTATTTGTTAGAAATCGGAATCAGACCAGTTATTTGATATTCCGCTTACGAACATGGACTTAACAGACCTTAGATATCTGCTGAAAGAGAATCGGCTTCAGACGAGTTAATTACCTCTGAGTTAGAAATCGGAATCAGACCAGTTATTTAATAATCTCGCTTACGAACATGGACGTGGCAGACTTAAGGCATTATACTTACCTTTTTAAAAATATTTTCCACATTACAGGCGCCTGTGCTCCAGGCTAGCGAGCCAGGGTCTTACCATCTTAGCCATCGTGCCCCCCCCCCCCACACACACACCCTATTGAATACAGTATATTCAGAGCATACTCTTTTGTTTTATTGTCAACTTTTTCAGCTTTCTGGTGATAATAAAAACAATCTGATCCTTTTCGTAGTGGTATAATTGTAGCTCTGAGCTATCAAAATGTAGGTCTATGCACCAAGATTGCGATATTTCTAAATATATCCATACAGAATTCGAAACGTTACAGTGCGCACGGTTATGTAGCTGGTTATGTTAAATTTAAAAATTAATAAATTGTGTACAATTTAGTGGCAGCCTGCAACCCAAAACCAATTTAATGTCAGACATTCGAAAGGTTACAGTGCGCTGACACGATTATGTAGTTCGTTATGTTGGATTTCTAAATTAAATGTGAAATTGTCCTTCATTGATAATAATACAATTGTCATTACATGCAATATATTGTACAACGAACACACGCTGTGCGGATCATTTATTGGTAGACTCGTTTAACTAGACTCGCAAATTGTACAGACGATGAATGGACAAGTGCAGACATAGATCGATCTGTGGTGAAGGGAAAGACTGTCGCGTGACCGAACACTTTGTCGTGTGCCGTGCAGTGTTATGATCTATATGGCAACATCGGCTGATTACAAAATGAAGGTAATGTTACGCTATTTACGAAGTGTAAAATTATTCGACATCTTTCTCAGATATGGGCTATGGCTGACTTCGTCCAAGTTGAACCATCCCAAAGCTCCACCCAACATATTATAGATATTATTGTTAATGTGGGTAGGTGTGATATGGATCAATACCGTTAACCATATTATAATATGTTATACAGCATATATACATCGTATACTTGTTTTGAAATGTGTATTTGGAATACTAGCCGATTTGTTGGAACAGCTGAATGATTAATATATTTTGTAGTATTACATTTCTAACTTGTCCCATATAGACCACGAATTTCCAAGTCGTTGGGGTATTTTCAAAAAAAATAATTATGATTTTTTTTGATTTTTTTATTCAGACCTATAAAAAAAATATAGGCCTACATGTAGTACCCGTAAGATTTGAAACTATATTTACATATAGCAGACCTACCGTCGAACATCGAACATAAATGGCATTCATAAATACAAAATAACAAAGCCCACAGTCCTTGTATTTTCAAGTGAGGCAGCTTTTATCAATAATCAGACGGGGGCCACGGGGAGCTGGCTCACTAACCAGGAGGTCCAGAGTTCGATCCCGGTGTTGGATATACATGTAAAGATATCCAAAGATTAAAATCCACAATCTCGAGACCTTGACTCACGCGCGATAACCTCTTCTCAACAATATTATATATCCATTATCTACTTACAAAATTCTTTAAACACCGAAAGACCGATTAGTTGCTTATTTCGTCGAATTTCAAATTTTAGGGGCCCTTTTTTTTCACCTCAAAGAATACGTGTATGAACTTTGGTCTTTGGTCCCATCCGAACAATTTGAGCGTTGCCCTTGCCAACCACGCCATCGTGGGCAATCAAGGGTGGAAGATCTCAAAGAACGCCAACACCAGCATCGAACCGGGAACCCCATGGTAGTTAGTCTACTGATCATTTGAAAACATCATTCGAAATCAACTGATTCGGGACTGGAAAATCTGAATTACCTACTGGGCAAGGTTTGAAAGCAGCATTGAACTCAAATTATTCCCAGCATTGAACTCAAATTATTCCCAGAGTGATAAGGAAT